TTTTTTTTTTTTTTTTTTTTTGAGAAGATCAACCTTAACCTATGACGAATTGACGAATGATTAATACATGACGAACAATAATGAAATTTAAAAGTAATAAAGGAAATGAATGAGCATGCCGATCAGAAGTTTCGAGATTTCAAGATCAGTTTCTCATTCCATGATTTTAGAAAGTTTCCCATCTGTAAGATTGCAGCGGCATTAATCTTCCCTTAAGATTAATTGACGACACGAAAATTTAATTAATACGCTGAATTTAGAATCTCGAACAAATATTTTTGGAAATTATGTCAAAAAAAAAAAATCGGTTTACCTTTTGCACTGATAACTGGTTCACGGACCATAACGAGTGACCAAACTGTATACAATAATTCGTTGCTTTCTTTTTGAACTCGTCGGTATGATAGAAATTGTTACTAAGAAGTAATAAATTTATCATTTATTTTGCCTGGGTTATATTTAAATATACTTAAAAACTGAGAAAGTATTGCAATTTTGGGACGAAAAATTCTCGACGTGCGTGGCACGTCATTCCAGCGCAAGAAGTTAACCTGGCAACTGGTTCACGGACCATAACGAGTGACCAAACCGTATACAATAATTCGTCGTTTTCTTTTTAAATTTGTCGGTATGATATCAGTGGATAGAAATTATTACTAAAAAATAATAAATTTATCATTTATTTTACCTAGGTTATATTTAAATTTATATTTAAAACTATATAAGAGAAAATATAGCAATTTTGGGACAAAAAATTCTCGACGTGGTTAACCTCTTGCGCTAGCAACTGGTTCATGGACCATAACGAGTGACCAAATCGTATACAATGAGTCGCTTTCTTTTTGAACTCGTTGGTATAATATCACTGGATAGAAATTACTACTAAGTAATAAATTTATTATTTGTTTATTTTTGCCTGGGTTATATTTAAATATCCTTAAAACTGAGAAAATATAGCAATTTTGGGACGAAAAATTCTCGACGTTGAGGTTAACTTCTTGCGCTGGCAACTGGTTCGCGGACCATAACGAGTGACCAAATCGTGCGCAATAATTCGTCGCTTTCTTTTCGAATTCATCGATATAATATATCACTGGATAGAAATTATTACTAAGAAGTAAAAAATTTATTAT